ATTATTTGATTATGTTTTGTTTAGGTTAATTTAGGGTATTGGTTAATGTTTTGGTATGCTAATTTATTAATTAATAATTTAATTAGGTTAATTGGGTGATTATAGAGTTGATTAGAAAGTGATTAACTTTGGACTTGTTAATTTAGGTTGAGTAGTAGGGCAGCAAGGCATTGTAAGTTTTTGTTAAGGGGTTTAGGATGATTAAGGATATTTAAGAGGTGATTAGGGTTAAATAAATATAATTAGGATCGACCATGGGGAAAAGACAACTAAAGGTTCTAGGTTTTGCTTAAATTTGGAGAAGGAATGTGCTAAATGCTTAATTTGAACATTACCCATATTATATATCATATATATAACCTAAACCATATGAATTCTTCATGTTACGTACAATATTCAACATGGAATGTACAAATATGAAAAAATTTCAAAATTACACATGGAGTTACATGCATGAGTTCACGGCTTGGATATAATGTGCTTGTAAAAAATTCAATTTGAACTGAAAATATTAAATTCACATAATTAAGCATGATACAAGACTAAACCCTATGATATTAACATAAAAAAAATAAATGAATTTTTGTTTTTTGTCGTATAAGACTTTAAAATAGGTTAAATTGAATGTAGAAACATTAAATAAACATAATTAAACCAAAAAATTACAGTTTCATGTATGTTTCGCCCGAATAGGGCTATATTGCATGAAATCATGGTAATTTTGATAAAATTAAAACATATAAACATAAGATAATTCAATTGAAAATAAAGCCCTTAACATATTTTAAGAAACAACTTGAATTTAACATTTTTACCTTGGAAAATACTACATATGCAACATAAACCATCATATATTTAAATTAGCATGAAAGTCCTAATTTCAAAACATAAAACTTGGTGAATTTTATGAATTAACATTACATAAACATATAATAAGATGATTAAATTAAAGGCCCTATCATTTGAATGAGGAAAATCTATGAATTTAGATATTTTTGAAAAAGGAAAATTAAATTTTAAAATTTATGAAATGAGAATGTGGAGAGATGGTTTATCTTTGAAGTTTGCATGGAGAAAGAAGCTTAACTTGGATTTGTGATTGCTTGAATTAATCTTTAGATTGCTCCATGTTCCTTGCTCAAATTATTAGAGAACTATCTTTGAGTTCTCGGTTTTGGTGTGGAGAAGAAGAAAATTCAAAAATATAGGAGGAAAAGCAAGAATTAAGCCTTAGAATTGGAGAGGGAATCAATGTGGTGGTGGAGAATATGGGAGAAGATTTTAGTTAATGGAGAAAGGAGTGGTTAGGATGAAAAAGGGAGTTACTTTTTTGAATTCAATGGCCAAAACTACATTAAATTTCGAGGAATTTAAGCTGGTGCTTGTTTGGACTAATAGAATAAGATCACTAAGATAGGTGAGGTTTCAAAACGAGATTTTTTTATGAAGAACTGAATTATAGGTAGAGATCCAATGACCAAGTTGTAATATAGGCCAAATTTGGATAATGAGAGCTAAGAATCTCACAAGTTTGCATAGAAAAATGGAAAAATGGTAGAATTAATATGTCAAATTGAATAGACCAAAACGAGCATTCCAACAGTCCAAATTGATTAAAAAAATGGAGCTATGTAGCTAAAGTTATGGTCATTTGAAGTTAAAGTTGGTTAGAAAGGTGGTTCTAGTGATTGGAAAGTTGACTTTAATCACAAATTTATCTTTGGTCAAACTCTTTGAAAAACAATTCAAGGAATTTAATGGTCCCACCCTAAGAGAAAGAAAATCATAATGTTTGACCAAATATTTTTATTGGATTTTATTGGTCTAAATGATGATTTTGTAAGTTTAGAACAACTTTTGTTATGGATTGGAGTTAATTTGAATTCTTTTTAAATAAGTTATAGTCAAATTATCATTTTACCTCCTTTAATTAACATTTTCTCTCTCTTAATTATCTTTTGCTTGAAAGATTCCCAAATGAGGTCAAAATTGAAGACACAACGGTGAAGTCCATTTTCAGAAATAAGGCTCCTTGAAAATTTTTTACAGAAGCCCATTTTCATCCCTAAGAACTCTAAGTGCACAGTTTTATGTAAAAATTATTTCAATTGATCATTAAATTTGTTCACATGAACATTATTAGTGATAATAAGCCCCATGCCACTTTTATAATTCTTACGATAACCTCAAGAGAGAACTCAATAATTCTAAAGTTCAATTACAATTGAGCTTAAGTGAAGTCTAACCAAGCTTGAATCAATGGAAAATAGGGTTGACTAAAAATGAGATCAACGGACTCCATATGTCTATTGATGGCCTTTGGGCTCAGAAGCTTGATGATTTGTTATGGAAGAGCTTGTGCTCTCCCCTCAAACACAATGCGAGTCAATTCTATTATCTAACCAGTTATTTGATCTTGGAGTTTCTGAACTTGTTCTTGCATGGATTCTCATATGGAATCCATGTTATATATTTCCCCCACATGGGTTCCTTCTCCATGGTGTGATCCTCTTCTTGTTGATAGAATGACTCCATGCTCCAAACACCTTTTAGAATGTTGAATCCCAAATGTTTTGTGGGTCACACCCAAGTAATAGAGCATTGGATGAATGAGAAGAGTATAAGGGAAAAGGGTGAGAAAGAAGTATAGTGCAAAAAAACACAAGTTTTGTTGGAATAGATTAAGTAGTCCCTACTCGAAGAAATTATCCCTTATTTAGAAATTATAGAGAGAGTATAATAAGTTACATATCTTTTCTTGGTTAAAAAGGAATGTTACAAGTGATTACCGTGTCATTGCACTTTTTCATATTTGTAACTGACTTTTGTGATCCTTTAATATTTGTAACCACCGTTGACACCGTTTACCATTCATAACAATTTAAAGTGGGGTATTAATGATTCAATGATGCTAATATTCGATGTTTTGATAATTGCTCGGTCGGCTTAAAGTCCTTTGGTCGGATGGGAGTTCTGCAATATGTTGCAAGGTCATCGGGCAGGCTTCAAGAGGGAACCCACCGTAGAGACCTTCTTATCCTTAGGAAGAACTTAAACTGTCAGACAGAGGGTGCGTCACCTTAATTTAATGGGCAACTTTCTTTCATACAAGAGGTCATCGCAAAGGGTTGAAAAGGTGTTCTAAGGAGTCTCATAATTTGTTTGAGGGGGTCAATGACACATGACTATCCCTTGGATCAAGTGCACAATATTTTCTTCGTTCAAATATATTTTCATTTGGTTGGCTCATATTCTGAATGGTATGATTCCTCACACTTCTCTCTCTTTCTCTCTTTACACATTTTGATGCAGTACTTTAGTACTCTCTTATTTCAATCCATTGAATTTCCTCAAGATTCATATTGTCATATTTTTTTATGTACATAAATACAAGTAATATATATATATATATTGCCATAGTT